GCAAATGGGGCATACGAAACCAATCCGTTTTTGGGAACATCGTTTTTGTGAGATTTAGTCGAGAGCCAATCTTTCCACAGGCTGTTAAAGTTGGCAAGCATTCGTTCAGCTTAGCTAATGTTTAGTGTTAAAAGGACGATGTCATCAGCAAAGCGAAGGTGGTGTAACTGCCGACGATCGATTTTCACTCCCATATTATCCCATTCCAATGTTTGCATGACGTTCTGGAGAGTAGCGGTAAATAATTTTGGCGAGATGGTGTCGCCTTTCCTAACCACTCTTTTGATATCGATGCTAATATCGTAGTAGAATGGTGATATCTCGGTTGTGAAATTTTCGTACAGCTCACGAAGGATCTTTATGTACTGAGTAGTAGGGACTCCTTGACTATCGAGGGCTTCCATGACGTTTCCATCTCAATTGAGTCAAAGGCCTTCTGTAAATCGGTGAAAGTGAGACAGAGCGGTCTTTGGTACTCTCGTGATATTCAATAAGCCTTGTTATTGTGTGGATGTGGTCCATCGTACTAAATCCTCTTCGAAACCCTACTTGCTCACATAGCTCTCCTTCGTCCATCTTTCGTCCAGTGTTTTACCAGTTCTGTTCGGAACGACACGAGTGAAAAGTTTGTAGGCGACAGACAGGAAGCAGATTGGGCGATAGTTGCCTATATCGTGTAGGTCACCCTTCTTGAACAATAACACGGTCTTGCTAGGTTAAGCATTATGCGTTCAGATAGGTAACTTATGGAGAACCGAGCCACTGTGTTTACGAGAACTTACGGAAGGTTTCTCAATTATTCAGATCTTATCATGTCCGGAAAAGGTGTTATTCGATTTTTCACCGACGAAATGGCATGTGGGATTTCGAAAGGGAGAACCGGTGGTGCAACATATCCATCCTCCTTTATTTCATATGACGGGAGGTGGGCGTGACTATCGTAGAGATCTAAGTAGTATTCGTGAGTGATTTTTTCCATTGCATTTCTGGACGATGTAACTGTTCCGCCTGGGCGTCAGAGTGTAATGGTCTTAGTTTTATAATTGGTTAAACTTCGGTGGGCTTTGCGAATGCTTTTCCCCGCCTTTGCAGCTTCGACCATTACTGTTCCTCTTCTCTCTTTAAGATCTTCTTTTAACGGGTGTCTGCATTGTTTTGCAAGTTCGGACGTTAGTTCGCGATTGCCTGCAGCTCGTGCGATTCCACGCTGGCATATCAGCTCGAGCTCTGGAGAGAGACGTCTCTGGGTGACTTTCGAACTTTTATCTTTCATAGCACTAAACTGAAGGTGTTGAATGAGCCCATCGTATTCTTCGTCGATGTTATCGACAACGGCATCTTCCCAACAGGCGACTAATGAATTGAATAAGTCCCAGTTTACGGTGGTTCTAGGACTTCGGTTTTGGAATTTAGCGGCTTTTTCTCCTTTCCGCGAGAAATGGAATCTTGCACGAAAGAGACGGTGGTCTGATTCCGTGTAGAATTTTGGGACAACAGCGACATTGGCAGAACCTTCTATTTACTATGATATGGTGTATTTCGTCATCGTACTCTCCATTGGGAGGCTCCCACGCCCAGCGTTGAGGCTGGAGCTTCTGGAATTGCGAGTTACCATGGATGGTCTTGGTCGTTATGATAAACTCGGACAACCGCTCACATTGCTCGTTCCATTCTAATCTGTTGTTGCCTAGGTGACGTTGTTCGGACCTTCTTCTTGGTCCAATTTTGGCGTTAAAATCTTTGATGGTGATCTTGAAGAACGTATGGCCTTCTTTGTAGAACTTCTTCAAGTTCATGTAGAACGCTTCGACTTGTTCTTCTTCATAGTTTGATGTCGGTTCGTAAACGACGAAGATTGTCAAGGTCTGTATTGATCCACATCTCCTCAATCGTAAACGTCCGTGTTAGTTGTTCAAATGGATCGATGTTCATGGACAAATTCGTGTTGACGAGAATGCCGACGCCGCCGACTCCTCTGCTATCGCATGTTCCGAGGAACAGTTCTACTACGGTGTCATAGACGGAGTTGAATGGGTGGTGTCGCCTCGTCTCAACCAGACCGATGACTTCGTACCCTGTTACTTCTTGCTTGCATGAATAAGTCTTCTATGAAGGACTCGGATGCGAGAGTGCGTTTTTTGTAGGTACAGATCGTCAGCTTAGTTCTTTACGCTTTAGGCAACTTAAAATGGACCTGAGGTTTTAGCGGCCTCTCCGAACTCGTCCTACCCAACGCTGCCGAATTGGGGACTCTTTCGGGGTTAGGGGGATGAAGCCTGTTTCTCTTACTCTTTTTAGCTTTTTGATATCCACGTATAGCTTGCTGGGCTCTGAACGTGGGTGCTGAGTATACTGACGGGTAGCTTGCCATTCTCACCCATAGTGGACATGGAGCTTACTTGTTGGAGGCGACCCCTAACCGCCTCCCATATACTTCTGTCACTTGGTTGCAGGCTTTTGGCCGAATTAACTCGTAGAATACAGTGCGCATAAACTTGAACGCACCCACACACGCATACATGAGTACGCCTCGTGAATACGAAAAGTATGGTATATGTATGTTTGTGTAAAATAGTATATATGTATATATATTCTACATATTTACATGTATATACCTGTGCGCGCCTACCATATATATGTATATATATATATAGATATATGACATACATGTATATATACATATATATATACATATGTATATATATATATATGTATATATATATATGTACATGTATATGGTGACGACTTTTCACTTATCACATTAAGTTTTTTTTTATATGAACTAATCACAGTATCAGGATCCATCGATCAGTGTAGTGCGTACTGCTCGTGATGATAACGACTTGGAAGAACTTGACATATCCGAACCGGAACTCATTGAATTCCAATCTGATGGTGTCCCCGTATTCGCGTGGTTCTATAAACCAAAAGTGAGCTGCTAATGGTATTATTATAGCCTGGATGCACGAATATATTGATATTGATTTACTGATTGCTTACGCGCATGCATACACATGAGATCCGATATGAGTTGGTTTCAACTCATACGTTGCAGAAAGTAGTCGCGCCTTCGAATTTTGGACAAAGATATCCCAGCTCATAAAGAAGTTTAGTAACTGAAATAGAAATCATTACAATGTACAGATCTTTTCAAGTAAAATACGAGTTCTAATCTCCTTTATTTCGAATATCTCTTATGGCAGAATTATCGCGGTGAAATTCTGAGTTTATTGCATCCATGAATTGTGTTTTTGTTGCCTTTTAAGTCGAAAACGGTGATTCGAATGTGGGAGGTAGTTGCATAGGTAACATTTTATCCAGCAGGACGCATTGGTATCCCTGAATGTTCGCGCCTGCCGAACTTGCGTTGGGAACTTTACGAATCATACAAAGTTTTAAATGGAACATGATTTTTCACAAACTGTTATTATTCTTAAATAAATGAGACGGAATTTCTTCTATAAAAATACGAAGTTATTAGTTCCTAGTTTACTTTAATTGTAGAAAAAAATGTCGGCATTTTCCCTCCCGAAAGGTCAACTTCGTAGAGGTTTCGGTCGTATGAATTGTACTTTACAGTAATTCTTGACGAATTAGCCAATAAAGAACTTTGACTTCCTTCTTTGCTATCATGTGTAGATTGTATTTGCTTGGTGAAGACGGAGAGTATGAATGTCGCACTTGGTGTCTAGAATTGTAATAAGTTTGACTATTCCGACATTGGAGAGAGTGTCGTTCATCATGTCATACACTCTAGCTTGTCTCTCTTTCCTGAATTGCGACACGTTTCTGTCTAAACCTCAGAGATATAGCTTACGTAGTAGAGAACTTGAGATTCTAGTCCATTAGCCACGCTTGTTGCAGAAGCATCAAGTCCAAAGTCATTTAAGAGCGATGATTGGAGATTTTCTAGCTTTCGGTATTTTTGAAAAGCATTACCGGTGATATGTGGAACGTCAACTTCGTTATTGTCCTAGAAATCGACTTTCCTTACACTTGCGTGACAATATCAATGATTTTTTAGATGATTCATCTGAGACGAAGCTGGTATAAATGGTATAAAAACTTTTATTCAGCTAACGTTTTGGTGCCTTCGCTTTGTTCAGAGCCGGAATGATCCAAGTAGTTGGTCCACAGACGGTCGTCTCCGCGTTGTGGGTGTTCGTTGTCCCATCGAGTCGTGTCAGAAGAGGCACCGCTGAGTAAAGTTCCTCATTCGAACCGTGCTGCTTCCACTGGGTTCAACTGGACGCAGCAACGAATATCCACGTTCCGACGAGGACTAGCCGTGGACCATCGACTCGAATCATTTCAGATCTGAAGAAGATGAAGGAGCCGGAATGTTAGCCGAGTAAACGTTTTTATACCAACCTCGTGTAAATTCAATCATCTACAAAACCATTGATTATTCTTGCCAAATTTTAATTAGAGTCAGTTATAAGATAAAGCCATTGTCTATTTCCGGAAAATCAGTATGCCTTTAACGGCCAAAATTCGGACGTCGTCCAGAGGGCAGAGGTGATAAGCGTAGCGAATCACAAATGTGTTGAAACAATAAGGTAGCGCTTATTTATGTCGGGGTTAAATGAAAATCGGATTTTAAAAGTGCATGACAAGCACTCACGTATGTTTGTGGAAAAGTGTTAATCTTCCCTTTCACGAAAAGAGACATCATTGTTGTTGCTGGTTTCTATTTAGCACTGCGTCTGTGTATATGTAACCGCGCTAAATAATTTTGAAATGCTTTAAATAAAAGAGATTGGATTCACAATGTTTGCATTTTATTTTCTATCTTTCATAATTTTTATGGCAGAGTATTAAGCGAAACACAACCACAATAATGCTGAGATGTTTGCAAAACTCCGGATCGCAGGTGTCTGCGGTGGGGAACGAACGCGCCGTTATACTTATTGTCCTAAAGAGATTGGTTAAATTTTTTAACGTGTGGACTCTTTCAGAACCGTCACTTTGTTGGTCCACCAGGTAAGCTGCCTCCAGTGTTGCTTCTAGGTCATGGTGGCCCAACAAGTGAAGCCGTCAATACGCTCGACCTCAAGAAGCAGTTCTTCACTTCCCGCGGATTTGCCATTCTTGATGTGAACTACCGTGGGTCAACCGGTTTCGGGACGGACTTTAGGAATATGTGAGTAGATTGGTTTATTGCTATCGCTTTATCTCTGATAGGATATATTTCATGAATGCTGGATGCTGTATTATTCTGTATTAGGGTCAAATTACGAGCACGATTTCATTTGTTCAAAGATACCTGAAACTTCTTGAAAGAGGAAATTTTAGGGTTTTCATTTGCGAATTTTGAAAGCTCATAACATTTTCGGAAATATTTATTTTCAAAATAAACTACTTGAGTCTGCATTTGCACCAGTATAGAAGATATTTGTTTAGTCCCTGATGATTTTCGGCCTCACGTTGCTCATTGAATTGATTTTCATCAAGATTTGGTTGTGATACTTCAGAAATCCTCAGATATCATCATTTCGCTGCTCAGGTTGAAGCGTCAGTGGGGCGTTGTAGACCGTGACGATATGATAGCAGCAGCTCGTTCATTAATTGCACGAGGACTTGTCGATAAAGATAAAGTCTGCATACTAGGTAGTTCGGCTGGAGGGTGAGTATAAATTTACAGTGCTGTACCCACTTATTGAATTGACATTTATAGAAGTCTTTGGGTTATGAGTGTTTTTAACATGGTCTATATGGTGACCATTTGGAATAGTCTGCTGCTTTTCTCTTGAACAAATTTTCTGTTCGTTCACCGGCAATCGATAGGTACAAGATCTATATGCATTGAGACAGCAAACTGCCTTTCGCGATATATCTGTGGTGGTGGTGGTGGTGGAACTATGCAATACACACAGCATCAAAAATCATAGAAATATAATACACATGATTTATCAAGGCTGACAACAAAGTCTTCCTACAGAGCCGCAAGAATTCACAAGTTTCCTAGCTTTTTCTCATAGTTTTCATCTTAGCTGAACAGTACATGGCATAGGTAGCGGGTACAACGCAGTGAAGCTATTAGCGTTTCGAACTTGGAAAATAAATGAGCTCTGATCGTTGTCTTTAATACCTTTCAATATTGGAAGTTCTTCTGCGGCCACTCAACTGATGAGACACGGCGCCTCATGCATATTGCTATCACAACCGTTGTCATCACTTAAACGATGGTGAGCATGTGGTCTTCGACAAGTGTCACCGAAGTTTCTTCAGTCTCACGAACCACATCAGTTGTGTTGTGCCTGACCATTTGAGTTGGATTCGGACGAGCTTTAGCAGGATATGCTAGCGATGCACGTTTTTGGATATGCTAACGTCAGTGAACAATTTGTGTCATCTAGCAGATGCGAATAATGAGTCGAGTTGATCATCTCTCAGTTGCTCACTAATTCGCTCATCTCTACTGGATCCGAAAATCGGTACCGAACATGTCTGTGAATTCTGAACAATTCATTCCCTGCAATCCAAATGAGAGGATTTGGCCTAGCTATCAGTGAATTTGAGTTAGAATCGACTAGAGCGGCATTCAACGGTATTCATAACGAAAGGAAAATCCTCAAGTAGTAGCGGAATACATACGCGGGAAGTTCGGAGACCATAATAATGCTGTTATTTGCAAAACTCCGGACGGCAGGTGTCTGCAGTGGGAATGGAACACGCTATTACACTTTCCGGTGTTTAGCGCGTTCACCACCACACTATGCGTGTCCTTCGTTTCGCCTTTCTCTCAACCGTTTTTCTAACTACCAGTGCCATCAGCGTGTGCTGGGCTGAGTGCCGATTTGGGCTCCCCAGATCAATCTCGTTGACGGGTGATTACTGATAGTATTGGTAGATAGAAAACTGGCTGAGAGACAGGCGAAACAAAGGACTCCTATGGTGTGGTGGTGAACGCGTTAACCCGGAAAGTGTAATAGCGTGTTCCATCCCAACCGCAGACACCTGCCGTCCGGAATTTTGCAAATATCTCGGCATCATTAGTCATTAGTCATGTAACCAGCTTATGGAAAGAAAAGGAAACCGTACTATTGCATTGTGAGTGGTGTCTTCTGTCGAATATTGGAGGTTTCTACCTTCCTACTGGATATTTATCCTAATTAACTAGTAAAACTGAAAGCTATTATCCATACAATCAGCTGCTAGAATTATTCCGCATCGGATCAACGCTGGTCATATAATGGTGACTCGGAAGAAGTTTCGACATCGACTGAGAGATTCTGCATTACTATCAGCCGTACAGCCCGTACCTGGACTCTTCGTAACAATTCAGACTACCACACCAGAAGATTATTAAAATAATTGAATCGTTTCATGAGGCCTACGCTCTACGTTTTATGAACTGGTAGGTTGGATGGGTCCGGAATGAAGTGGCAGATGTAATAGTTTGTACTGATGAGGAGTACCTAAATGACTGGAGATAGTTTGATTTCAAACATCAATAATTTTCCAGTAATGTTATACTATAACGGGGTTCTACTTCCTACGTAATTCAGTCGTTTTCATTTACGAATTCACACACTCGTGAGAAAATTTTTTCTCATTAGATTTGTTATCTTACCAATTGTCATTCAAAGAGATGTTGGGAGGAAACCCTGGATTTACATCGTTCAGTGTTGGGTGGTGGTTCAACGACATAGGAGAACATGTGATTCTTGAAGTCGCTAATGACGAAAAGGAAATATTTCAACACATCGCCCTAACAATAACGAAGAAAGTATACTTTTGCTGCACCTTGAAGTTGCTGGCCAAGTTTTCAGCACACATTTGAGGCTTATTAGGATCCAATCCTGAGAAGCAATCTAGCGATTTCGCATGAATAATTCGCCACTCTTTTTCACCATGAAACCTCAGCATCGCAGTACGATTGCTTAGCATTGAGATAGATCATTTTCTGCAGTAATTTTTGAAAGAAATGAAGTTATGTTCTAGGTACCTTGTTTTATCGGTTCTCATCCATTCTGATATCTTCAAAGCAGCGGTTTCCATCTACGGAGTAGCGGATCTAGTCGGACTCGCAAAGGTGTATTGAGTTTTCGATAGTTGTAACAAAGGAAACCTGTTCAAGTTGTACTTTCAGCAGAAGTAGATTTCATTTTGGTGGACTAATTTTCTTATAACGTCATATGCTAGCCGGAAGTTTTGAACATGTGAAATTCATGTGAAGCAAACATGAGGTGTTATTTAATTTCTTTATTTACAAGCAAGCTGACGTTTAGCGGATTTCGCTTTGCTCAGAGCCGCTTTCATATTCATATTCATACGTATTCACTGGAAGGCTCATAGAAAGCGACTCTGAGGAAGGCGAATTCCTCCGAAACGTTGGCTCATTCTTGAGTAGAGAAAAAACATCTCATGTTAGCTAAACAAGAATATAAAGAAATGTTCTATCAATGCCGAGGAAGAGGAGAAAAAAGTTTATAGGAAGTTGGTCGCGGGAATGTGAAAACCAGTGAGGTGTTTAGTAAGGAACTAACGTCTTATAAGTAAAATAAATATTTGTAGCTATTTTCACTAAATCGTAAGCAACCTGAAGGTATACTACTTTCCAGGACACACACAAATTTGAACGCGGCTACAATGAGGTGTTGATTGGTAAATATCCGGAAGAGGAGGACGTCTACAATGTATGCGCTTTTATTAATTCCATCTGTACTGTCTTAGATTACTAAGCTAACACAAGATTGTTATTGAATTCACGGACAATCGACTCGGACTATCCCCTCTGTGAAGAAGGCGAATGCGCCGAAACATTAGCCGAAGTTTTATAACAACCTTGCGTTAGCATAATAATCTAGGAGAGTAATTTATTAGTCCTCCTGGGTTGAATAGCAGTCAGTTTTGAAAAATAAGTCCTATCTGTATTCATATTTCTTGTTCAGGACCGTAGTCCAATTAACCATATTGATAGTCTCCAAACACCGATAGCCTTCCTACACGGTAAGGAAGACACCGTGGTGCCGATGAGTCAAAGTCTCGAGATGTATTACAAACTACGAACGAAGGGCGTTACAACTGCACTCATGCTGTTTGATGGTATGCCAACGATTTTACGCTTTGAAATATTCATCTTGATTTAACTGAAGCATTGTTTTATTTCACTGCAGACACTTGTGGTGTTTTGAAAATTTTTCAACATCGTTGTGGTCATATTCATGTTGCTTGTTGAAACACTGAATTAATAAGCTGCGACTACTTAGATACTTAGATGGCCCGCCTTCAGTGGCTATGCCGGCCCAACTATAATTTCTGTCTCTTCGGAATTTTACTGGTTTAGCCAATGTGGTCCCCTGGAATCCCGAGGTCCGCCTGGCCAAAATCTGCTCCAGATCGTTACCACCACAGGCACCCACCACCCTTGTGGATCAGACGGAGATTTGCCACCATGCAAAAAGTGGGTATAAGGACGGTGGTAAATCCTGGTATTGGTTTACTCTTATCTAGGCTTCCTGATGGAAACATTGGACTTCCTTCTCAGCTTAGAAAACCCTGGTAGCGGATGAATTCCCACGCTGTACATCGCAGCCCGACACACAGGAACACTCCAAGCCACGATGAGGCAATATGGAATCTGTATCACAATGGATATAAATCACAAACATTTCGTTGAACAACACGAACTTCCATATTGATTCAGGCGAAGGACATGGATTCCGTGGCTCAGATGCAATTCGGCGGAGCACCGAAGCATCATATGTCTTTTTGTGCAGAGCACTTGGTATCACACCATCAGTTTCGTCCGATGTAAGTATCCTTCCATGTTTCCGTAATTAATTTTTATCTACTGTTTCTTCTCTTGTAATTCATTTTGCTTGACACAATCCTGATGGCAACTTTGAAAGGACTCCTTTCATATTTAGAACTGTTAACAATATATCATAATAACATTTTCAGATAGAAATCGTTAACGAGAAGTATGGTGAAGATTTGGAGCAGAGTACATGAAATCAGTTTGTAAATGCTTTCTATGTTGATCGACATTTTTATACTTAATCATAGAAATCCAAGCTCTGTAACTATAAATTACAGCGAAATAACGATGAATAAATTGGCGGGTTTTTGATGCATATTTTAAAAACAGGTTTCAAACATAACTAAACCTAAAGAAGGATGCTAACTGAACACTAGGTCGCGTGGAGCAAACCACGTTTAGCGAAAATGACCAAAAGGAATTCTTTTCTAAAAGGGAAGGAACAGGAGGAAGAAGAACGAAAAAAGATGAGGCGTAACAGTTAACCTAGTCTTGTCTAACAAATTCATAACAAAGAAACAATTCCCACAAAAAAGATAACAACAATGAAACAACTGGACCAAAAAAATTATGAATTTCCTAATTTGAAATGTTTCAATGTCAACTTTTCACCTTGTCGAGCAGACATATTGGGCCGTCATAGATCATTTGCAGGTCCACCTTCGGTCCAAACAGGTCTCGAATGTTGTTGATACCGTATCGAATCATAGTCGGTCTACGAAAGATCGAAATGACGAGATTACCATGAGAACTGTTGTAAATGGATTTTTTCTACCTCTCCAATGATAGTCCGTATCCCGCGACATTCACATCAAGCGGCAATCCCATTGGTAACAACATCTCTGGCCGAAACATCCCCGAGTTCCCAATCTTAATTGAGTATCATTATAAAACAAAAGTTTAGGAAATTCAACTAAATATGGAATTGCAATTTGTATGTAAAACATAATGGTCTGCATATTCCCCAGGAATATAAGAATAAGGATTAAAATTGATTCACCTCGACCCATTTTTTCAGTCCTTTATGATAAGCGAATATCTCCATTGAGGGCTCCGTGTATGGATTATATGTTGGCTTGAATCGGAGATCTTCAATACCTGAACATTCCGCTTGGATGTGGGTGGGATAGAAGAAATACAAAAGCCTGTCCGGTGACAAAGCAAAAACAAAATCTCTCACCAAGCTTCTTGAAAAACTCCGTGAATACGCCAATGAGATGAGATAGGGATAAACTGCGTTCAGCGATAACACCTTCTACCTAGTAGCAAAACGTTGTTTGAATACGGAAGAATGTAAACGAAATATAAGAAATGTATGTGGAGTACAGGGAATGTATGTGAAACATTACTTTAACAGACGGACTAATACAGTAAGAGACAATCTCACTTGATAGAACTCAGCTAGATGAGTTGCATCCAACGTTTCGTTCCGGAATACTCTATCGATTGAGAACATTTTCGTTGGGCGGAAACCCTATAGAGGTATAATACACAATCATGAGATGTCGTAACATGGATAATTCGGTTTCATTAACGAAATGACGAGAGTTCAATCTCAGAATCGTATGTAAACAAAGGCCACACGGAAATCAATCCTGTTTTTGACATAAGAGGAAAATACTGCCTTTGCAATTCCATTTTACTAAAAAACATGCATTCAAAACATCGCCGAATAGAATCGAGGGATGGAACACTGCTGCATGGATAAAGTTTTTTTAAAAACAACTTTGTGCAAGATTATGAGCACGACGAAATACTGATTATTCATGCTAAATTCGGAATAAAAGTCGGCTGCCAAAAACAGAGCTTTGGACTTAACCTCCTGAGCAAGCTTGAAGAGTTGACGTGCCGATACTGCAGTTGTATGCGTGCGTAGCACATTTTTCTGTGCCTCCTCAATTTTCCAATCATAGTTGTAACTAGAAGTTAAACAATTAGATAAACATGTTTCGATCTTCCAGAAAAAGTACCCATAACAACTGTTGAAGCTCAACAATCGGATGAATCAACATAAATCATCACGTCTAATGATGCAGCGTGAACTACATCACTTGATTCCAGATAACCAAACAGACGTATATTCCGAACTCACCCAATTGATCCATATCCTCCTTTTGAATGAACAGCTTTCACACGTTCAAGGTAATCTTTGGGAAAATTCGTGCTTCGTGCAGGATCTATACAAAACCGTTATCTAAAGGCCCTAATTTATGCCAGCAACAAATAATTGTGCTTACTATGACTATTTTCTTAAACAGGAGCCGTTAAAGAACTAGTAAAAATTCCAAAAATTTTCAATTACACTTACACTTGAATACAAAGTGGCTACAGACAAACCTGAAATGAAAAACGTATCATGTGCATCTCTCGCAGGATGCTGTTGAGGTTGGAACAGGGCATCGAAATTCCAAAATGAGCTCTCCACGTACCGATTTGTCGGCATCTCTGAGAAGCCCATTGAGAAGAAGATTTCACGGAATTCCGAACGCACCTGAGTGATTGTGTACAAGCTTTCGCCGAAGCTTTCAGTCTGGTGTATATAATGTGACCTCATACTGCCATGTTATACGTTTGTTACTAGGTTACTACCGCAGGCAAAAGCCAGAAAGCTTATTAATGCGCCTCTTTCTTGTTCAGCAATCGTGAGGTTGTTAAACAACATGCATTTGCTTCGGTAGAAAAATACACAATACAATACAACAGTAGCTGACGTTTCGGCAGTTTCGTCTTCTTCAGAGCCGCTTTTTACGTGATTTCCAATGAGGAAGATATGAAGTGTTAATGCTGGGAGTCATCAACCATGTGCGACTATAATCAGCTGTTCCAATCTTCCTCATTGGAAGTCACGTAAAAAACGGCTCTGAAGAAGGCGATACTGCCGAAACATCAGCTGCTGTTGTATTGCATTGTATATTTTTCTATGGAATTAAATGTATACTGTACAATAACCTCGCGATTGCTGAACAAGAAAGCGACACGTTCATATTCCAATGCCGAGGTTAACAGAAAGTCGATGCTGGGAACTGTTCCAGCAAATTTAATATTACCTTCATCAACGGATGTATATGCCCACATGTAGGAGGTACACCCAACGAATCAAAGTTGTACTGTTTGAATGTTTTGCTCCTCCATGAACCCCTGAAAGAATTTCTACTTCTTTAATTGATCGCACCATTTTCGAATCTATGAGAAGTAGAGACTAAGACAAGATGTAACGAAAACGAACAAAGCCATAAGCCGCTGGTAATGATACTTACGTAGCTATCATCTCCGGAGTTAAATCCACTTCAGGTTTACTAATTGATGTGGTGAACTTCGGTCCTTTATTGACAATTATATATTTTGTAAGACTGAAAACATCAAACTGCTTATAAATGTATTTGTAAAATCAAGGCACTAATGAATACCATACAAAAATCAGATGAGTAATGCTAACTGACACTTCCGATACGAGTTTCCTCTTTTTTAGTTCAGCCACTGATTTTTCATCAAGCTCTGCTCCAATGTTCAAAGCTTCTAGCTGTGCTCGTACAGTATCCTCTACTTTAGCGGACTTTCGTAACTGAACGACCAGTTAAACAAGCAAGTTTATAACAACTTTTTGAAAAGAAAAGAGGTAATAAACGAATAATAATCGTAAAACGCCAACTGGCGATGAGAACACACCAAACGAATATCACCACCACTCTTATCAATGCTTATCCATCCAGACGCCAACGCTTTATTTATCCCGATCTTTCCGAAGGGAAACTTCTGAAAAAAAGTCTGGTAAATGAAAAAGCCGCAAGTTAATATCCAAAGAAAGGTCTTGCGTGATCCCATTTTTTATAAAGCTCCATTAGTAAGATGGTATTTGGAATTATCGACCTTAAATATTGATTGAAAGGTACAAAGATCTAACACCTTACCATAATGTCAGCCTGCAGCGCACCATCAGTTCCCACTAGTTCGTATACCCGATACTCAGCTGACCCATTTACCACCATTTCACTTCCTTCATCGGTCAGTTTGATGTTCTTCTCCAGTGCATCCACTGTTGAAATTATCTAAAATGGCAACATTTTGCACCGTTATCGGAAAATTTGTTCTATAATTCATTCTGTCCTTATCCGAATTAGAAATTGCCTTCATGGAATTAAGCGATTACACCATAATCAGTGATGGGACATCGTATTTATTATTTCAATCCACGTTTCCATTGAATTCGACATCGAAAAGATTTAAGGAACAGTAAATGCAAGGAGGATTTGAAGAAAGAACTCTCTAAAGTCCCAAGATCGACTCTGTATTGATCCCGGTCTTGATGAATAACTCGTCACTTTTAAAGTCTGTAAGATGATCGACGTAGCCCTTGAATGTGAAACATCCATCACACTGTATAGAAAGTGCACATGATATGCGGACATTAAGTACGACAGAACTTTCGATAAAGTTCATTAGCTTACTCAATGTAGAGTGGGTATTACAGCTATAACACGAAACAAAATCACAAAGTACTTGTTAAACCTAACTCGTCATGAGTGAGAAGACTTTTCACAGCACCAACGACAGCCTGGTGAGCTATGTTGAGATCCTTCGAGATCTGTATCGTTGTCAACTCCTAGATATTCGAAGGAATTTGCAATAATTCATACACTGTTTATCTATTATGAAGGACTAACCGTACAATTTTCGCTCAAACGTTTCAGTACAAACTGTACAGCCTTCTCCACATCGTCGGATACCTCAGCAGCAGTCATGGTTATCTAAGCGATTCCTAAAAAAAATGCTGCGAAGTGATAGTTATTCTCTTGGACTCGTAGTGTAGGCAGCATAAGTAACAGGATGTAACAAAGGTGCAACAAGGTAAACAACGCCTACAGATCCCCAGGACCCACTTCCTATCAACCTTGGAATTAATATTTTTCATTATTTTATGTAATCTAGACGACATAGGGCGGATAACACAGTGGTAGTGATGTCCGTCACCACGAGAATGGTACCAGTTCGATTCCGCGCCGGGCCAACCAAGCCTCATCCCATTCCTTCGGGGTCGGGAAATTGGTACCGGACTTGCCCGGGAAAAAAATCGCTCTCTGCAGTCCAATTGGGAACGCTTCAGCCCGGCTATTCCAGAACTCCAGGGAAAATTTCTCGACCTTCTAAGACATCCAAGATGAAATGGATACCCTCAAGCAGCAAGCAACCGACGCCACGTGTTAAAGTTGGAAGACCGTGGAGAATCGATGCCAGGAAATTAATCGAATGTGAGAAATGCGGAGAACCGCACAGTAAGCGGATGAAATCAAATAAAATAAATAAATAAAAATCTAGACGAAAGGTATTCACATCTACTGTTCGGATCTTAGCACTTATTGCACTCGATCTGTTTTCGTCGTATTCATCGCCCACGAAGGCCATCGGTCGGACTTTTCGCGTGTTCCTTCGGGTGCTTCTTCAGGATTTCGTCTTCTTTATGAATGCCGTAGAATGCTGGTTGAGACCACTCTTCTTGCAATCTTGAAAATAGCCGGGCTTAGGCGTTTCCACGTGGATTGAAGGAGAGCGTTGGGCAGGGATCGAATTGCCGCCTCTGCTCCCTGAACGACGGCATCACTAACTACTGCGCTACCCCTTCCCTTACACTCCACTATTCAGTGTATTGGATAAATATAGTACTGAGTGAACCTTATTATTAACAACGTGGTTGTCAAAGACGAAGCACTGACTAATAGAAAACTACTTTGATTAGCGACTCGAAGTTGCATCTACTTTCTCTTAAAACTGCTACTTAGGAACGAAGCTAAAACGTTCGAACGTTCCATCGTACAATGATCGAATACACTTCTTTGCAACGCTGTTTTACCATATTTCTTTTCATGAAAACCACAGAGTGCTATCTACTACTTCCACTGCTAGAGCCTTAATCATAAGTTTAATCAAAAACCTGTTAGTAGCAATAAGGATAAAAGTACGCGCCCATATGTCAAATGCACCACTGGCCAATTAATGAACAGTTCATACGACTTTGCATGACTCTAAACAAACAACATTGGAATCCTAAAAAAATGTGGGAGAACGATGGAGACGACATGTGTTGGCGGCGTCCGCATTTGCGGAGAATGTTTTTAACTGTGCATCTGATGTACGATAAAAAGAATAAAGGATAAAGTTTTCGACGCTAATCAGTCCACGAAGGGTGCACCATGCATTCGACTTCATTAAGCATTGCTAGAGGTTACTGAATGCATATTTCGCCTTTAAAATGACTCGCGGTGGCCTGCCGATGTATGGAGCCAGTGATGCTATCCTCCCAGACAAGTCTGGTACCAATTTGCCGGAGGAATGGAGGGCTTGGTGAGCCATGGGCGCGGGGATCGATCCCATGTGCGTGTTGCAGGGCGCCTCCGATCACTGCGCCACACACGCCCTTATCTGATGTACGGTAGTGCACCTAATGTGGATTTGTCTGGACGAGCAATTTGTGCATAAGGGAAGAGATTTTCGACAGTGGATCCATACTTGATACTTGAACGGCCCGTCCTCACTATTTGTGCGGGACCTAGCATAATCACCACCTTTCGGAGATTTGCTGGTTAAGCCATTGTGGTTCCCTGGAATCCCAAGGAGAGCCTGGCTAAAGTCTGCCCCAGGTCGTCACCGCGACAGGCAGTCGCTGCCCTTGTGAATCACGGGGAGATTTACCACCATGCGACTTTGATAGCAAGACGGTAGTGGATCCTGGTATTGGTTTACTCTTAGCTGGGCTTCCTATTGGAAACGTCGGACTCTTTCTCAGCTTGGGTGACCTTGCCGGGAGACGAATCTCCCCGCTGTACATCGCAGTCGGATACCCAGGAACACCTCCCAGCCGGGATGAGGCGGTAAACCCATAGAGGCAGCCCTGAAAATACTGGGAAAACCTTGACATGTGAGTGCAAAAAACATTCAGCTCGAACTGTGAATAGGCTTTTGCCGGATTGTCAGTGTCAGGCGTCGGATGTCTGTGCGATTCCGAATCTATTAATCGGACGTAGAAAGTGAAAACGCCGATGGAAGGCCCAGTGGATCCAAGAATTATGAATTGTCAATTACTCGCCACTATTTGTCACGTCCAGTAATTCGTGGACCAAAAAGCACAGTGTCGACTGTGGTTGGCAACTATTTGCGTCGTCAGGTAAAATATTAAGGTAGATAGAACTAGCTGAGAGACATGCAAAGCGAAGGACCCGGATGGTGTAGTGGTGAAGTGCGCTGCTCCCCGGTAAGGACAACAGCGCGTGTTCATTCTCCACTGCATACACCTGTGGTCCGGAGTTTTGCAAATATCTCAGCATTTCATACGAGTTATAATTCGAAAATATTAAGGGTTGAATAAATAAATTAGTCCTTAGTGTAGTGGTCTCGTAAGCCGTGGAAGGGCAACTTTTTTGTAGGTCACGACGATGCTGAGATATTTGGAAAAGCTTAGACCCCAGGCCAGCGATTGCCTTGTCCGGGCGCTCACGCGTTACCCACTACACCAGTGAGGACCTTGCTTTGTCTTTCTCTAAAGAAAAGATAATACTTTTTAATACTTTTGAAGTCTTCAGACCCAAAGTATTAAATGGGTTCCGAGCTTGTTGATAAAATGAAAACGTGAGCGGGTCTGCGACTAGCGCGTATTGTCCACGATGGTGAGATTGAGCAACACATTGTTTAGCATTTGTTTAGCACAGCATTTTAAAGGGTGTTCCAAAATCTGCTAGATCTCAACTTGCATTCCATTTGCTCATTAATTTACCTCAAACCTGGGTAATTGACCAATATTTCCGGTTTGAACTTTCTAAGTGCCCTCACTCAGTGCGCGGGCGCATCAGCAAAGAAGCAACATATCACAGCCAAGATGTCCTCTCTTAGTGTCAGTTACACATTTTCTCGGATTGTTAAGCTAACATGAAGTTGATAAAGATGTATATTCACCTAATGTTTCGATGTCTGTGTTTTCATTAGAGCTGACGACCCGAGTCGATGTCCACGGTCGTTCGTCTTTTTGATATGGCGTCTTCGTCTTCGCATCGAATGGAATCATTGCAGCACCACTCAAATGAGGTAATCCCATACGACGGCGCTCTTTTATGCAGGACGATTATTGACTGATTGCGACTATTAATGGTTTCTCTTCATGGCGATAATCCATGCAATAGTCAGTATTAGAATAGCTAGCACAAAGCGTAATATTTTATTAACCTCGTGTTAGCTGATCAGTGGAAGAATACGTATTGATTAGTCATACCGATGTAAAAGGAAAGGTGGTTTTTGAAGTATTATTAGGCTTTAGGCCAGCTAACAATAACTTCTACAGAATGGATTGTCTGGGAAAAAAAAATCAATGGGCAATCATATCAGCAACAACCTCCTATACGAAAGCGCACTGCTGAGTGAAGTTGCCTCGTTCGCGCGGTGCTCCACTGGAGAAGACTCGCTACGACGACGAAGATACCACGTTGAGAGCACGAAGAACCGTGGACATCGAGTCGGGTCGTCGGCTCTGAGGAAGACGAAGATTTCGAAGCGTTAGCCGAATAAAAGTGGTTTATCAACCTCGTGTTGGCTTAGAAATCCAGGAATGTATCGATTATTAATGCCGAGGTTAAATGGCGGTCGGTTTGAAAAATATCTGCTCATATCCCAAGAGCGACTTTCTTTTAACCTCGGCATTGACGAATAATTCACTGTTTTTCTTGATGAACAAACGCGACGTTGTTATTACCGCATTTGTTAGCACACAGTAGCTGACGTTTCGTCGGTTTCGTTTTTCTCAGAGCCTAGAAAGGAGACTGACATGCAATCTATTCGGTCAAATGCTTTCATAACCTCAGAAAACAAAGCTTAACACATTAGTTCCCATTAACATAATAAACGGCTTCTTTCAAACATCCACCGTTTTGTTCTTTGTAAGCCTTCCAGTTGTTTGGTGAAGCACAGCCGCAATTTTTTTTTTAAAAATTCGGTACCGTGATTGGAACACCATTGCACACTCTAAGGCGCCATGTTAGTTCTTAATCACCTATATGACCGTCTATGCACAACGCAGAATTTCATTATATACCCTAGCGGTAGAGACGATGATTGCACGAGTTCGGGTACGATTTACTTGGTCTCTTGGAAGGTATTCGGCGGCGAATACGTTGGCAATATGGGTAGATCACTCTGCATTCGTATAAAAGAGCATCTAGACGGCGGCAAGCTTAAAGTACCAAATACTCCACTAGGAGCGCATACGAGATGCGGACGTAACGGGGAAGATTCTGAAGATTACAACTACAATGATGCTAAGATGTTTGCAAAAGTCTGTACCGTAGTTGTTTACGGTGGAAATCGAACACGATATTACCCCTTCCACGGGTTAACGTGTACGCAACCACACTATGCGGGTCCTTGGTTTCGCCTGTCTCTCAGCTAGTTTTCTATCTAGTAAGGACTGGTTGGAAGGCACTAGATTCGTTCCCTACTGCAGAGACCTGTGGTCCGAAGTTCTGCAAATGTTTCGGCATCACTTTGGTTAAAAAGTTAATATTTTTAACAATTCCAAAAATCCAGAAATGAACCGCAAAGAGAAGTATAATTGTGATCACGCGTGACCTAGTGCCATACCTCAGGCTGATTCTCTGATCTGAGCGAGGCACATTCCTCGTCCATGTAATACTGTGTGCGGCTGATCTCCACCGAAAAACTGGAAGACTTACAAGGAACAAAACGATGGGTGTTTAAAACAAGCTGTTTCTTATGGAAATGAAAATTTATGTGTTACGTTGTGTATACTTAGGTTATAAAAATGTTTGGCTAAGTAGATTGCATTCGAATTTGACCTTTTTAGGCTTGAAACCGTCTAGACTTCAGCTATTGTGTACTAATAAGTGCTGTAATACCAAACTCGTCTTTGCTCTGCAAGGAAAACAGTGAATTATCTGCCCATACTAATTTCTAACCTAATGCCAACGGTTTATCGCCTTATCGTGGCTGAGAGGTGTTCCCGGGTGTCGGGCTGCGATGTCCAACAAGGAACTCATTCCCCTGGTAGGGTCTCCTAAGCTGAGAAAGAGCCAGCCGTTTCCATCACGAAGCCCAGCTAAGGGTGCACCAATAACAGGATCCACCACCGTCCTTTTAGCAAACTATTCGCTTAGAGGCAAGTCAATCTCCTGATCCACAAGCGCGGCGACTGCCTGCTGTGGTTACACCCTGGGCAAACTTTGGTTATGCTAACCTCGGGGCTCCAGGGAGCTATAAAGACTAAACCAGTAAAATTCCGAAAAAGTGAAAATTATGCTCGGGCCCGCACAACCAGTGAAGACGGCTCATCCAGGTATCCATCTAGGTATTGCCACATTTGCCAATCATTTTACTTGGTTTTCTGGTTCTTTTTTTCATTGATTGTTTCCAAACATAACGTCTATTAAGGCAATATTTACAACAGTTTACGAAAAGATGAAAACACTTTATGCTCACATAGCTATAACGTGTCATTAGTTCTCTCAGGCCTGCATAACAGAATGGAATGCTGATTCTATACTTGCACAAACTTTTGGCTTGACACCTCTTTGATGTTCTATGGCGGATGCTGCAATGTTTCGCATCTGCATGAAGCTTAAGCTGTTCGATCAGTGTCATTGATATCGTTTTGATATATATTTATTCTCTAACATCTGAGTTCTGATGAGCAGAAAACGGCGAAGTGGGTTTGGTATATGTTCTGCGCTAGGATTTGCTAGATAGAACTAATAACAAAGAAATGGTTAAACTCTGGGTATGGTCAGAATGTATCTGGCATTAGAAGTCTCAGATTTGCCTTTGTTGATTTCTCATTCTTATCGCAAACTACAAGTCCGTAGACTCGTAGCCTCGCGCTGTCTCAAAAACACCAGTTCCTGCTTTCGCTTCCAAGGGTAGTTCAGTAGGTCTTACCTGCTGAGTAGCATGTTCTTCTTCCAGAATCTTCGTTAAGATTTCAAAAACCGACTTTCCTTTAGCCTCGGTATGACTAGTCAACATATGTTTAAATTGTTGAGCGGACACCAGGTTGATAAATAAACTTTATTCCGTTAATCTTCGTCTTCATCACGGCCGATGATCCGAGTCGATATCCACAGTTCTTCGCACTCTCGATATGGGGTCTTTGTCGTCGAATCGGACCTTCTTCAGTGAAGCAATGGTGGAAAACCTTTCATGCAAGTGCGGTAGCCAGAACTGCAACTTTATATTCGGTGTGGCGCTTTCTTCGCTATCATGTTCAAACTAAGAATCTTAACAAAAATATGAAGGGAAAGCCGCCTGGCTCCCAAAACATCCCATAAAATTGGAACTTCGTCGTATTAGAACAATGTATATTCTAAACGTTTTTATTCCAATTAAAAAAGTTCAGTAAGAGGTGAGTTGAAGTCAGAAGTTGGAAGCTGCTACTATTTTCGCATCCTACTACTCCAACAGAAGTGATGTCGTTGCTCATCCGCAGAACATCCAACGATCAGACTCGGTTTCTCTCTTTTTCTTTCTTTTTATTTCTATTTATTTTCTTTTTATTTATTTCATTAACCATTTTTTTCCATGCTCACTCAAAATCTAGGGATTGAAACATTTGAGAACATTTGAAGGAAGCTAGGCGAACTCTGGTGTTGGAGCACTGAGGAATTGGAAGACAAGCACCGAGGGACGGGAAGATACGCACTGGAACACGAGACTGGTAGATTGGAGGACAAGCACTGAGAGATTGGAACACAGGCACTGGTTTTGATGACTAATGGCGCTCCTTATTTTCTATCTGTAATGGGTGGGGCTTTACAGAGGAAATCAGAGATAGTGCCCAAAGAGAGGTTGTGAACTTTTTCAGTTCAATTTCTTGTACGGAGAGTTCGTGAAGGCCGTAGAAAGGCTTATACAGAAAGTGCATTGGAAGGGCCGATTCTTGAAAGTGCAGCTGGCGGCGGCTTATCCAGAGCCCGAATCAAAGTTACAGTACCACTTTCTAGCCAGCTGCGAGACAAAGGCTTGAAACGGTCGTTGATAGGCATTTTACAAAATGTGCGAGCATGGTCGTATAATTCCCAAGGTCGACTTTCTCTTAACCTCGGCATTGGAATATGAATGTATCGTTTTCTTGTTCAGCAATCGCGAGGTTTTTAAACAGCATACATTTACTTCCATAAAAACACAAGTCAATACAACGCTAGCTGACGTTTCGGCAGTATCGCCTTCTTCAGAGCCGCTTTTTCGTGACTTCCAATGAGGAAGTTTAGAGCAGCTGATTATAGTCGCATGTGGTTGACTCTGAAGAAGGCGATACTGCCGAAACGTCAGATAGACGTATGTTTAAAAATGGACAGTTATTGCAGAAGACGTAAGGTAACGTAGAAATAGGAACTACTTGAGGAATAGTTACTACAGATCATTGCAGTCTAAAGGTTTTCCCCAATAGCAGACACCCTACGAGGATGAAATCCTAGTTTAATGGACCCGAATCGTATTTTTACCACTTTTTTTCGTAAAAATTCGCGTTCCGTAAATGAAAACCACTCAAAAGGCGGGACTTCCTCTATTAAAACACGATGATGTCCCGAATGTTTCGTTGCTACTTCTTATGGCCGTCGAGAGTTCGTTTGGAATTTTAGAAATCTAAGCTTCGCTTTCATTTCTGCATAACCCGATCACGTCTCCCAACTGTCATGTGTTTCACTTATCGAAAAATTATTGGTACGGTTTGCGAAAAACCAGCGTCGGTCCCCTTGTTCAACAACTACTGGCACAAACCAGTAATCTGGCCATCAATTGCTTTGTCAGCAAATAGAAAACAGCGGTAAGAAAAATGTCGCTAAAGTACTAAACTGCACTTGAACACGTAAATGAAAGGGGAAATTCTCTTACAACGTCTATTTACATAGAATAAAATTGGTCACAATAGTTCACAAGAACGACCTTCTTCTAAACTTCGGCACTGGGAAATTATCCGCTGTCTTCTTGATAAGCCAACATGAGGTTACTATCGTTAAGCCTAAAGCTAAGCAAAACATTCCACTGGGCACGAACAGAACACAGGTATGCAACGAGGAAAACTTCGAAGTAGAAGTCATGATCCTCGCACAGGAACCTAGAACCATAGCACGCAAAACTCTCAGAGCACAAATTTCAAGAATCTGAAAATAAATTGCAGGTAGGAATACTTCACCATCACGCGACATCTCAAACAGTATCTTAGACTGATATTTTAACATCAGAGGAGCTCACTTGGACACTTGGATGGTCCGTTCTCACTAGTTGTGCGAGCCCCAGCATAATCTGCATCCGGAGTTTACTCAGTAAGAGACTCAGAGGCGGTGACTGTGTTTGGAGAGGCTGCTTTGTATCCAGTGCGATTGGGAATTAGGTATCGTGGTTTTTCTGTTGAGGCTAAGGATGTGTAACGCTGACCAAGTTACGGTTAATCTGACCTTTGCATGCTCTGAAGGCGAAATCCGCCGAAACTTCAGTTTTTGTGAGTAAAGAGCATAACGACTTCCTGAGTGCACATTGGGAAAACAACGAATTATTATGCTCAGTAAATAGTAAAAAGATGAGAACAAATTATTCCAACAAAGAACCGTTCAGAAGCCCCTATAAGTGCAACTGAGCCGAACAAAATTAAAAGAAACCGGATTCGAAAAAGTACAATAACACAGAAAACAACAGAAAAACTCGTGCTGATAAGAACATTTTTGTGAGTTAAGAATTATCACTGCTTATCACACCACGCGGTTATATGATTTGGTCTGTGATCACAAAGAACGCATCATCATTGCTTAACTCCAAATAATCGTTATTAATCCTAATCACATCAGGAACAGTCAGGATTGCTTCCTTAATTTCGTCAAGTCGACTGAAATCATCATTTGCCTTCAGAAATGGCGTCTGAAACATAAAATAAGCAAGAACGATCTCAAAAACACAAGCAATTGACAATCGTTTAATGATTAGTTCCTTATCCAGAAAAAAAAAATACACTGATGGACAATGTGAGTAAACATGGAGAGTCGGTTTCTCGAACACCCTTTATCTACTGGCCATTGTTCGGACAAATGACGGGTAGGTTGGATTCAGATGCACTCCATGTCTTGGCATACGCTCCTTTAGTTAGAATTGATACAAAGAAAACTCCGCAGTCTAACCAATTCACATGGAGCTAGGAATTTTTCTTCAGATTCTATCTGTAACGTTTCCCTGCAGGTTCGACGCAAGATTCATATGCGTTGTCGAAATCCAACAGTGTTCATTCCCTCCTCTAATGCATAACGGGAAAAGACGGTGATATTATGAACACCACCTGTTAACAGATTTTGATTCTCATCTTGCCAAGTTCTATGTTTCTCTCAAATCGCTCTTTCATTTCCATCGAAAGTGGTGTGAAGAAAGCAAAATCCAGTCATAAAATTGTTGTACAGCTAACGAAGGATCTCTATGTGCTGAGTCTGGTATCATGCCTGCCCACAGCTTCCAAGACTGGTTCTGCCTTAAATGAATCGAAGTAGCTCGTGAAATTCAGACGATTTGGTACTATGCAAAATCGCTGTTTCGTTATCCTATGGACCTCATCTATTGTACTGCGTCCTTTTCGAAATCCTGCTTGACCATTTGTTCTCTTTGTATAATTTTCAGTCAGTTCCGTTGAGGATTATTCGAGAAAAAAATGTATGTAACATAGAAAAGACAGATTACGTGACAGCTAACACTGTCGTCTGAGTCGCCTTCCTACATTCCACTGGAAATCTTGTATTTTGACGAGTAATGCAAACCAGTATGTTGACGAGCACTAGCAGAAGATTCTACAGGTAGTTTCAGATTATCGTGTCTAATTCTTTCGGAATCAGGTGGTGCAAAGCTCCTTTAAGTTCAACGACATGGCACTTCGACTTCGAAGGCAGAACAATTCATAACAACATACTCATCTTCACTGATCCGTAGTGGGGGAATGCAGCGGCTTAACGTGGCTGTTGCAGAGATCGATGAAATTATAAATGAACTTCTGCCTGCACTGACCTTCTAGTAGGCCTGTATGACAACCTTGGTTATGTAATCGGGCAGTCTAAAAAGTCTTTGGGATGCTCTTTCACAAATGGGTGACTACCTACGACGCGTAAAGCTCCACGTTAGTGTGTCATCAAAAGGATTACTTCAGATAGAGGTCTCTATTCGGCTTCAATGATGCTGACATATTTGCAAAAATCCAGACCGCAGGTGTCTGCGGTGGGGAGCGAACGCGCTATTGCCCCTTCCGGGGAGTAACGCGTTCACCACCACACCATGCGAGTCTTTTGTTTCGCCTGTCTCTCAGCTAGTTCTATCGATCTTTTGCCATCAGTAATCAGCCGTCAGCGGGATTGATTTGGGGAGGCCAGGAGTTTTGCAAATATCTCAGCATCATTGAAGTTATATTTCGCGATATATATCCTGCCGTTAAAAAGTGTAAGCAGTGAATAATAAGTTAAAATTGTGACTCTATACGGCATTCATTCTTGACTTTCTTATCAATGTTGTGAAGATACTAGATGCACCAGTAAGTATTCTCATCGATATTGTCGATAATGGTACTCTTTTTAAAAGGCCGTCAAAAAATAAACAAACACCAGTTTGTGATGGGTTTAGGATACTCTTCTCTGAATTTAGACGCTATTCTTATTCTGTAAAAAAAAGAACCCTGCGCTAATATTCGATACTCCCATCCTGTGCGCAACTTTAGGACAATGGTAGTAACAATGATAGCAATGTTCAGGTGAAATCCTCTATTTATAATAATGTTCCAGGGGCATTGAAAATTTGAGTTACCATGAATAAGAGTATTCCAAGTCATGCCAAACTTATACAGCTTCTAAACTGTACATTGCATTCTAATGCACAAGTGCTGTTATGAAGTTTTCAGATACAAAATGTAAAAGTGGCACATTGTCAACAGTGTGTTAAATAAGCACTGAGCCAACTAATAACCTCTTTTTGCTACAAAATAGAAAGATGGAATAGAATGGAAAATAGATGCAATATATTTCATCTCTATATCGCTAGGATTTTTGGAAGAATAATGACCATGGCCAGAAAAACTTACCATCATTTCCATAATCTCTTTGACAGCCTTCCCCTTCTTGGATTTTAATAAGGCTTTGTAAACTTCGCTTATCAGACCTTTAGGAAGCATACGAAACTTAGACTTAAGAATACAATCAACGGGTTGTACCTGAAAATAACATATATCACCTGTTTTGAAGCTATCCAATTCTTGAAACAGAGGTGAATTTTACTCTTAAAAGACGGATGGTCGCTGAAGACAGCGTTGGGTAGGAAACTAGCTAAGAGAAACACGGAGCGAGGGTCTCGGTAGTGCAGTGTCTAATACGGGAGCCCCCGGAAAGGGTAATGGTGGACTCCGCCGTAAAAATTATATTAGACAGCAAGTAAAAAACAAAAAGGGTAACATTACTCTTAAAAACTATAATAAATGAAATTCTACAGAAAACAAAAGTGGATCAACTACAGCGAGTTGGAAAACGGGATAAAATGCTTGTATTCTAAAGTACCTCCATTCGATTCGGTGGTTTAGAAAGTTGGAACATTTTCAGTTCGAACATTCGCTTTACATCCGTGCGACCACCGTCCTTCATCAATGACCAGTTACTTCGTTCACCATCAGGATTGAAACAACTCTTAAATTTCAAGCGGTTAAATCAAAACTTTCAGAAATTTGACCATTTAGGGATAGTCAACAACATATGGAAGGGTTTTTGAGTATATTTGCCGAATCGTAATGGAGATGGACAGAAGGGAACTATATGGCGCCACCATTCTTTGGACATATTAACTACAACGAACAAAGCGGTTGGAGTCAATCAACTGTTAACTGATGCGCCATGCACCATCTTACTCGTAGCATCTTAGAGGTGGTCGGGTACGTTTCTAGCCTATACAATAATTTTCACTGAGTCAACCCTCTTAAGTCAATGCTTTTATCTTGTTAAACAAGTCTGATACCAATTTACTAACGCCGAAGTGATGGAGATGGTTGGCGAGGTGGAATGAGCCGGAGTGGATGAATACCACAATATGCGGGATCGAACCAAAGACCACATGTGGGTTGGAAGGCATCCCTAATCATTGTTCTGCACACTCCAAAATTAATGGACTAAGTAAGACAGTGAAACAACCAGCAAAACTCGAAATAAGGTGTGATGATGTGCAATAAAATTACCTCGATGACTTCCTCACAACTAGTGATCGACAATGGACCGTAGATATGATGACACATCTTCAAAATGCAAAGTAGTTCCGGTAAATGCTGTACTTTATCTCCCCACAAACTAATACAAGTATTTTTCATTTTTACCCTGAAAAAAACTTCTGGAGGTGGTCGATTCGGATATTTATTCCTAGAACCAAGATTGATTTTCTAATCTTCAAGGAAGTAAATTAGTAGTTTATCTCATAAACTATTTTTCTAACAATTTCGAATTCTTTTCTATGTTCATAGTACTAAAGCGGATTTCCTATATTCATCATACCTCATGTGTTCAATAGAAATCTCTTCCTCTTGCGAAGACAGTGCAGAAGACTCTTGTGATTCTGAAAAATGAACAAATATTAAAAATTCTATAGAAGATGGCGACGGCTGACCTCATATAACTAACCATGAACCTCAGCCACTGAAGGTGATACCTCACGGACATTGCGAGCGGTCCAGTCTGTATAGCTTTCTTCACTATCATCTTCCTTTTCTGAAGAAGAAGACGAAGATCTTCTTGCGTGATTTTCCTCTGACTGGTTGGAGTCACACAACGTTGTTAATGTTAAACTTTCCAATCGATTTCTTGCCAGATCTTCGCTGACTTGACGTTTGATCAAGTGACACTCTATTTGAAGATATGGTGAGGGTTCGACAATGATATTCCCTCCATCTACCATCTGTTCATACCTACGATCAAAACTCATTTTTTAATCTTCAAGCAAAGAAATTAATCGTCTATCTCATAAAGTATTTCTCTAATGAATTTCCATGTTCACAGAACTAAAGGGGATTTCCTATATTCATCGTACCTGTATTCAGTAGAAATCTCCTCTTCCGAAGACGGTGCAGAAGACTGTTGTGATTCTGAAAAATGAATAAATATTAAAAATTCTATAGAAGATGGCGACGGCTGACCTCATATAACTAACCATGAGCCTCAGGCACTGAAGGTGATATCTCACGGATATCGTGAGGGTCCCAGTCTGTACGTCTTTCTTCAATAACATTTTCCTCTTCTGAAGAAGAAGAAGACGAAGATCTTCTTGCGTGATTTTCCTCTGACTGGTTGGAGTCATACAAGGTTGTTAATGTTAAACTTTCCAATCGATTTCTTGCCAGATCTTCGCTGACTTGACGTTTGATCGAGTGACACTCTATTTGAAGATATGGTGAGGGTTCAACCATGATATTCCCTCCATCTACCATCTGTTCATACCTACGATCAAAACTCATTTTTTAATCTTCAAGCAAAGAAATTAATCGTCTATCTCATAAAGTATTTCTCTAATGAATTTCCATGTTCACTGAACTAAAGTGGATTTCTTATATTCATCATACCTCCTGCGTTCAGTAGAAACCTCTTCCTCTTCTAAAGACGGTGCAGAAGACTGTAGTGATTCTGAAAAATGATTAAACATTAAGAACTCTGTAGAAGATGGCGGCTGCTGACCGCTTATAACTAACCATGAGCCTCAGTCACTGAAGGTGATACCTCATGGACACAGTGAGCGTTCCAGTCTGTATATCTTTCATCAATAATATCTTCCTCTTCTGAAGAAGAAGAAGAAGAAGAAGAAGAATAAGATCTTCCTGCGTGATTTTCCTCTGACTGGTTGGAGTCATACAAGCTTGTTAACTTTAAACTTTCCAATCCATTTCTTTCCAGATCTTCGTTGAGAAGATATGGTGAAGGTTCGACCATGATTTTCCCTCTGTATACCATCTCTTCATAACTATTATCAAAATTGATTTTTTAAACTTCAAGCGAAGAAATTAATCGTCTATCTCATAAAGTATTTCTCTAATGAATTTCCATGCTCACTGAACTAAAGTGGATTTCTTATATTCATCATACCTCCTGCGTTCAGTAGAAACCTCTTCCTCTTCTAAAGACGGTGCAGAAGACTGTAGTGATTCTGAAAAATGATTGAACATTAAGAACTCTGTAGAAGATGGCGGCTGCTGACCGCTTATAGCTAACCATGAGCCTCAGTCACTGAAGGTGGTACCTCATGGACACAGTGAGCATTCCAGTCTGTATATCTTTCTTCATTAATATCTTCCTCTAAATAAAATCTTTCTGAGTAATTTTTCTCTGAGTGGTTGCAGTCATACGAGACTGTTAATTTTACACTTTGCAATCGTTTTTTTCCAGATCTTGACGTTTGATCAAGTGACACTCTATTTGAACATATGGTGAAGGCTCGACCATGAATTTCCCTCCATACACCATCTGTTCATTCTCATGTTGCATCGTTTCACTATTTAAATCCAGTTCGAAAAGCATTGGCAGGATTGGTAATATGTTAGAATTTTGCCTTTCTTTAGTAGGTGTTTTATCTTCAAAGCAGGAGACGAACGAATCTCCACAACCTTCTTCCGGTAAGTCTTCACTGTCAAATGAATGATAAAAAGAAGACCCTTCTGATGCATCGCAGTAGATGGAGGTGTTCCCATCGATTACCTGAAACAATGCGCAGAAGAAAAACGTAACAACTACTTTAAAGTGAATTGTGTTCATGTTCAACAGATATCCTTCATATACCATACATCTCTAATTTATTGTTACTGAGAAAGACACAATTCTTCATCCTCTAAATTGTTATTACCAAGACAAAAAACGGTATTTATACAAAACAGCAACAGATCGGTGCTATATGAGGAGATCTACGTAGCGAACCCCTAAAGCAATGAGTGACATCGGCGAATTTAGCACAGCGTCACAGTAGTTTGGATTCATAATATAAACTATCATAAGTCGCAAACACTACTAATTGATTCCTCATCGTTTTCACTCTGACAATATGATGAAAATTTCTCGTCAAAACGACTGAAGGATAAAATAGTTGCCGTTCATCAATGTCTAAAGGATGCGCTGTGCATTCAGTTCCACTCGTAACATTGTAGAAGTGAGTAATTGTATACTTGATGCACATAATGACATCCCAAGGTCTGCCGAAACAACACGATACCATTTTTTCATCGTCACAGACAATTGTGGTACCGATTTACCAACCTCGGAAAGACAGAGTGGTGGTTGGCACACGGCGTTAAATCAATCCGACGAGCATGTGCATGTTGCGCGGTACCTCTGATTACTGCACTATACGTCAATTGTGTTCGTACCCTGATTCGAGAGTTCACAATCTTCCTTCATGGGACGGAAAAAAAAAACAAAACAAGAAGACATAACGACGCAAAGATTGGCGAACTTGTTCAGAGCTTATCATCTGTAGAAATACCATAGGAGAAGCTCTTCCGAATTCTGGTAAAGAAGAAAGAACACTCATAATAACGAGAAAAAAAAGTCGCGTGAACAGCACAATGCATCCAGTAGAGTGAACATCTCGTTTTAGTAAATTATTGCTAAATAAAGACTCCATATTAACGCAGCTTTCCTCGTACAACAAACATTGTCGGGTTAACGAGCATTGGTGCGGTACTCACTGAAGAAGATTCCGTCTCGGTACGACAACGAAGACTTCACATCGAGAACAAGAAGAATTATGGATCATCGATTCGGATCATCGGCTCTGATGAAGACGAAAACATTTTAGCCGAATAGAACTAATTTATCAACTTCGTTTAAGCTCAGCAGTTTAAAAACATGTTGATTAAGCAGCAATGTTTAGTCGAACGTGTCACCAGACAATGAATGAAATCACGCTTTGAAGAGAACGACTGATGCTGGTAGAATTGATTAGAGCAGCCTTGTAATACATACGTGATCTTTGGTTCGACCCCATGCTGGGGACTCACCAAGCCCTCCACCACTGGGGAGTGGACAAATTGAAATAAATCTTGTCTAGAGGAAAGGGAATATATCAGTATGCCATTGTAAGTCGTTGCATAGGTCAGGCATGCAGTCAAACACCTCCAACGATACTTAATGAAGTCGAATGCATTGCATATCCTTCAAGGATTGATCAACGTCGAGATCTTTATCTCTTTATACTTCTATCATATTTCATGCCTGCATGCATCTAAACCATATAACTGAAGGAATGTTTATTACCAAGGAATAATTTAAAAAATCGACTTTCTATAAAACTCGGCGTAATCGATATATCTGTACATTTGTTCTTATGTACTGCCCTTTTTTTAGCCGACGCGAGGTTAGTATAGGTGTTCTCATTGTTGTTACCATTATAATTGTTCAACAATGACCGACGTTTCGCCGACTTAGCCTTCCTCAGAGCCCTGCCGTTGGACCACCCGTGTATTGTACCGATGGATCATTGTTGAAAAACGAGAGCAACAACAAATAAGAGCATCTATACCAGCCTCACTTCGGCTAAAAGAAGGTCAGTTCGTAAGAACAAATATACAGATATATTACCATAGAATGCTTACCGCTTTTGAAAATCGAACATACTAGACGCTGTGGCCAGAGTACGATAATTAACAAAGGAAAATGTGTAGTCACTTAGACATTAAGTTTTCTAGAAGTAGAAAAATGAAAAAAAAAGAAAGCAATATTAAGGAACTGACACTCAGGTAATCTGTGGATGTGTTAAGCATTTGCTCTTCATTAAGTAAACTGCTTTCACATGGCGAAGTATAACATGAAGATGTTGTTGAGCTTCGATCGCCATCATAACATAGCACAGTTTCATTGTAGTTCATGGTAGAATTATACTGAAGTAGTCAAAACTTTGAATCGGAAAATAAATCGTAGATAAATAAATGTCCCGATAGATAAGTTACTACTGCACTATAGTAAGCCAAAGCATGGGGAATCCAATTACACGACTGACTACATGAAGATAGGATGTGTCACTGCACAGAGAAAAGTCCGAAAACAACACGACAAGTACAAAGAAAAACAATCGGCGTATCGATCAAATTATGGTGGGGGTGAAAGGATATGCCATGCACTGAGAGCAAGTGGCTGTGATAAACATTATCGATTGGAAAGCGTTTCGTTTCTTAAGAACACTTATGTCTTCTATCGATATGTAGGCCTTTTTGGTACTCACGTAAAGATTAGGTTTCTGAGATGAACAAAAATTTTAAGACAAGAAGAACAACAAATGACACTTGACTCTAGATCAACAAATGATCACACTACATCAGCAAGAAACTGACTTTCAACACAACTTTTAACCTTGTTATAATAACAGTGCTTCTTAAGAAAACAATTTTCACACTAACGTCTAATTTCGTATCTACGAGAACCGACGATGCCAGTGTGTTGACGAATCAGATAGATCAACGACAATTAAGGCAATAGTTCATCAAGTTGTTACCACTGCGATCTCTGTAAACCCTTCTGGTTTCCTATTTGAGAACCTTATAGAAGACTATAGAGAGGATATTATCACCAAAAAAACTTTTCCGAACGAAGTCTCTTTCAACTGTGCGTATCTTAGAAATGTGAGTGAGTTAAGTCAAAAAATAACACTGAAGTATGGGCTGAACTCACGCGTGGTTACGAGGTGTTCGTCCCTTCGGCTTATTTCCAGATTTTTGAAATTATCCAAAACACTTCAAGAGTTTTTTGTGCTGATGCATGGGATTCTTGTCTGAGGATTGTGATGACCGTTATTTCATAACCTCTGTCATGCATCTGTCTTATGCTTTTGTCAGTGGAGTGCTTTGTTTGACCTTAAATCTTCATCTAGGTCTTTTTTTATGCGAATGAAGAGCAGTCTATCCATTGGCCAATGTGTTTGTGCCCATATGCTTTACAAGAGGTAAGGTACACAGTACCCAAACTCACGCAATCACCGTCTCTACCGTTAGTGGAAATTATGCAAGTGTGTGTTGTACGCAAGCATTCGTGCAAGCAGTTGCGAACTAATTGAAGATGTAGCGCGTTCAGTGGTAGTTTCACCACTGATACTGACTTCTACAGACCAATTTCTATGGATTGCCGCTTTTTAAGCATCGCTTTACCGCTGTACATACTTCGATGAACAAGAATAGAAGTTGGAACAGGATTCTGTCTTCGTGAAAATTATCGCTTGGAGACCTGGGCTTTCCTCTAAACTTATCCCCGAAGACCTTACTGTTTGGCTATTAGAAATGGCTATTTGCTGCGCCCAGTTAGGGTATTCGTCCTTCTACTCTTCTCGTGTAAACACACTGGAGACTGTATTTCTTGATGAGCAAACACTTTGGTATTACAGTATTTATTCTTCCACAACAGCTGACATTTGGCCGGTCTCGCCTTCTTCAGAGTCTGGAAAGGTCAAACTGATATGCAATCCACTCAGCGAAACCTAAGGAGACAAAACTTAATACATAAGTTTTCATTCGTATAAAAAACAGCTTCTTTTAAACGCCCACCAATTTGTTCTTTGCAAGCTTACCAGTTAATTTAATTACTGAAGGCCAGCCGCACAGAGTACAACATGGACGAGGAATGTGCCTGATTCAGGTCATGAAATCCGCCTAAGGTATGGCGTTAGGTCACACGTGATCACAAGACACTACTTCTATCGTTTCATTTTTGGATTTTTGGAGTTAATCCAGAACAATTCGAGAGTTTCACGCGCTGTTTTTTGTTATCATAGAAGCATGACGGAGATTTCTAAGTAAAAGTTACTACCCTCACAAAGGAATCAAAAACATCAGAGCGTAAAACTCTCAGACGTTTCGGAATAATTTTGGAAATTCCAAAATTAACCGCAAGCAGATGTATGATTGTGACCACGTGTAACCTACCGCCACACCTCAGTCTGATTCTCTGATCTGAGCTAGGCACATTCCTCGTCCATATAATACTCTGTAGGTCGTCTCCACCAAATTACTGGACGACTTACAAAGAATAAATTGGTGAATGTTTAGAAAAAGCTGTTTATGCGAATGGAAATTTATATGAATGCGTCGTTTTCCTGTTAGCAATCGCGAGGTTTTTAAACAGCATACATTTACTTCCATAGAGAAACACAATACACTACAACACTAGCTGACGTTTCGGCAGTATCGCTTTCTTCAGAGCCTCACACTTGGGTAAAAACTAAGGGCATATGCTATGTCCTGTCTGCGTAGGTTATGAAAGTTTTCGCTGAGTAGATTATATATCAGTTTGAGCTTCCCAAGCCCTGAAGAAGGCGAAACCATCGAAACTTCAGCTATTGTGTATTAATAAATACTGTAACATTAAGCTCGTGTTTCCTCACCAAGAAGGAGAGTAGATCATTGATCAATGCCGAGGTTAAAAGAAAGCCGGTGTTGGAATTTGCCACAATGGAGACTGCTAGAAACATGTTTCTCATTTGAAGGGCGACAGAAAAGCTAGTGGTTCTGGTTCTGGGTTATATCGATCGGTCGCTAATTGAAATTCTGGATTCAGTTTACTGAGAATTACTAGGACTATAATTCTGAACGATAAAATGTATTGATAATCAACGAAGACCTTCTTTTGATGATCTACGCAATCCTTTATGAACAACTTGGGACCAGATATTTGGAAATTTGGATGGTTCATCTTCACAAGTGCTATGATACTCAAATGTTATTTAAATGTTCAAGTCCGATCCTGCTGTGATTAGGTGGCATGTATTTCTCCCACGACGTGACAAACTGTGACAGTTTGCAGCGGAGCAGCGTATTCACGCCCCTTGATTTGAAAAGATCAATGGATATCGCTGTAGAAGATATTGGTGTAGAATTCGTGGATAATCTCATTCACTGCATTTCTGGAAAGAATCACAGTTACGACTAGGCGTTAGAGAGCGGCCATGGTCTTATTCGCAAAGCGGTTTCAATGCTTCTTTCATGCTCTACAGTTAT